TAAACGCATTAGAACATCCAAAAATGACTATTGGTAAATCGTGACGCTGATGCCTACGTACGTGCGCAGACAAAAAAAAAATAATAATAATAATATACTAAATCAAAATTACATCATCTTGAAGTCTAGTGCATGACTCCCGGAGTCTGAGAATTTGGAGCCGTCTTTTAGAAACCGCGCCGAAAATCAATCATGAGATGTGGACAGGATCTACATGGGAAATTCAACGGTTGATACAACCCTCCCGCAGCGTGCATCTCAATGCATGTGATCTGTATTACCTCAAAACGGGAGGCGCAGGTACACGAATCAGTGTGCTTCTTACCACCGGCTCTTGCCCAGTTGCCCGCCCACTGGAACTGGAATTATTCTCCGTGTGGGAGCGCAGTCGCTTACATACATTATTTATCCGTATTCAGACAATTCGCTGTCCTCGAGGAGGAATCTGTCTCATTATGACGTGGCAGGATAGGATTGTCTGGATTTAGTCCAGATTTGGTGTTGAAATACGCGTACAAATACATTGCATCTGGTCCCCAAGCAATCGGAGCCAGAGTGACTGCCCTGAATACATTTTTCTTTTGAGAGTAATGGTCGAGGAACAAACCTAGGATTTATTGGTATAAATAAAAGAAATTTAATTTTTTTAAATAAAATTTTGAGTTTAAATTTTGTAAATGAAAAAATAAGTATTAAAAAAGTTTTTTCTCTAATAAGTTTGATGTAATTCAATTTCAGATTAATTGGGATATAATGTGATTGTTGGATATTAAAATATTAATATAAAAGAAATAAAAAACAGAAATTTAAAATAAAAATATGATATATATGTTATTTCATTAAATTAATTAATATATAATAAAATTTATCTAATTTGTATTTTAAAAATACAAGTTAAGATTTATTAATTACTATATTTTTAATTGATTTTATATAAAATTTAATATCATATTCATAACTTCTTATAAAATTTGAGGTAAAATATTATATTATATTATATTTTTATATTTTATATTATATTTTATTTAAATTTTGTATAAAAATTTATGTAAAATTAATTACAAATAGTATAATAAATTAAGTTTAATAGGTACCCTAACAGGTTAAAAAATCCCTATATATTATTATGTGTTTAAAAATAAAAAAAAATATTAGATAATATATAATTTATTTTTTAATATTTTAAATGATATAACTATTATTATATCATTAATTCTAGATTTAAATGTTAAATTTTTATCTAATTTATCATTTTTTAAGTGTATTTTCCTACCATGGTTAGCTTATTCTTTCATGAGATTCTTCCTGCATAAAAAAAAATAATTAAAAAATAGAGGAATGCTAGCTAATGATATCCTTTTTTCGATATTATATATTTCTTTAGTTATTATTGTTTTATGATTTGTTATGTATAAACTATATATTTTAATTTATTTAAAAAAAGAGACCATATTGATATTAAAAAACTCACACTTTATCAATATGCGGACTAGACATAAATTTTCTAATCTCTTTAATTGATTTACATGTTAGTACATAATTTTGGTATATTTTTTTTAATATATTAAAATTATTTACATATTAATTGAAAAATAAAAAAGAGATCTCATGAGGTTCAAATACATCACATATAGAAAATAAACAATCTTAACCCAAGATTAATATCACTGGGTCGGAATGAATTGTTTAATTTTAATATATATATATATATTTTAAACAAATTTGTAAGGAATTGAATTCAAACCGTTGTCTTAAGAGTAGAGGAATGCACTTATACATGACCGACGTCACTGAACCCGAAAGCCTAAGTGCATTTAATTTTAATATATATTAAAAATAAAAGATGCTTGAATTTTCATTGTTATGGGTACGTGATGGTTTAGCTTATATAAAGTCGAGAGCCTTTAAGGAACACATTTGATGTGAGATGGTACACGTTGGATGAGTCTCTGTTAAAGTTGTAAGTACGTAATATGATAAGTCATTTTTTGAAATGGAAATAT